TCACCTTCCTGTGGGCAAGCCACACGGAGCCACGCTGATGGCAGCCAGAGCCCTGGAGATGCGTCCACCACCACTGGATCCACAAGACTTTCCACCCACCGGCCTGCCTGTGATCTTCCTGCATTCAGCATTATTACATGTGTTGCATGAGTCTGAAGAGGAATTTATAGACTAGTATAGGACCGATGGGCTAATATCAGACTTAGGGGCTTGATCTGGCCTGGGATATTTTACTGATGCCTAACGAGGTCTTGAGATAAAGTCCACTCACACATATGAATATCTCTGCATTTGTTCCTCTGGTCAGCCTTGTCTACCACGAGTGGAGAGGGAGGGGACACAGTACCACAGTGGAGGAGGAGCCCAGAGCAGAGTGGTAGTGTGGTCCAGGTTCAGTGTGCTGAGAACCTCCTAGACCCAGTGGAAGACTGATCCCGACACACATGGAAAACTCCAAGGAGCCCCCAGACGTTGAGACAAAGACCTTTCCTCAGAACTGTCAGAAAGCCTTCCCTGAAAGCTGTTAGGTGCTATCAAGCCAGTTCCAACCCACAGTCAGACTTCGCAGAAGGAAACCCTGCAGGGTCCTGCACCACCCTCACAATCGCTCCAACGCTTGAGGCCATTGTTGTGGCCAGTGTTTGTTTTTTAGCGTCTCCCCGTCCTCCGGTGCTCTGGCAATGCGCTGCTCCTGTTCATTAGGCCTTCGGCGTCTGATCACGTTTCAATGACAGGCCCAAGGTTTTCGGCATGTCCCTCCGTCAACGCACGGACAGCCGAATCTTCCTCCGTTGTCTCTCCTTAGTCTGGAAGTGCTGTTGGAACGGCGTTCACTTTGGGGGGACCCTGCTGGTGTTTGAAAGACGCGGCGACACGGCTTCCAGCATCACAGCACGGCCACGAGCCCCCCGGTAGGATGAGTCGATGGAAAGGCAAGCGGCGGCCCCCACAGTTCAGACGTCTGGCCTCCCTGGTGAGCGGGTTTATTAAAGCCACCCATTGCTCGGCATTGCTTTCACAGCAGCTTAGAGAAGGACCACTCGTGACTGGGAGACACCGCCTCAGGGAAGCCACGGCCCGCCCACGTCTGCTGGCCAAGGGAACGGGAGGGGAGAGTGGGTAGAGGGTTTCCTCCCACTGGGGACACCACACAAGACAGGAGGAGGCCTCTTCCTCTGAGGACTAATGCAGATAGCTGGTGTCAGGAGCCACTGCAGTCCCTTTGGGACCACGAGGAGTGTAGGCCTGTGGAGTTAGGAGAACCGATTCCCAGAAAGCCCTTTATAATGACTCTACCTTGGGACTTCCTGTTTGGGGTAATAAATAGGGCTTGGGGGTAGCTGTTAAGAACCTGCATGGTGGGGGGAGTGGGGAGGGAGGGGGGGGAAATGAGGAGCC